GGAATCGAACCCTGTATTCCCGTTACCCGTTACAATCATGATATTGATATTAACCACTATCATAACATGAAACTAAAAAGTGAAAAATAAATATAGTTTAAAAAAACTAAAAAACAAGCTTTTAAAGCACATCGAACTAAACAGTTCAAAATAATTTTTAAAATAAGCTTAAAACAATAATGAACGAAAAGTACTAGTATTATTGTGATAAAAGCGTGGGTGCTTTGTGCCATATTTTTCGTATATTGAGCGCCCGACGGTTTTTTCACAATAATACTAGTACTTTTCGTTCAATATTGTTTTAAGCTTATTTTAAAAATTATTTTGAACTTTTTAGTTCAATGTGCTTTAAAAGCGTGTTTTTTAGTTTTTTTTAACTATATTTATTAAACATTGCGTAACCCTCTCGCCTATAACTCATAATTATATTAACTCAAAACGTAAAAATAGACAACTGGTTATCGGTCAGTCAAAATTTTGTTTTGGCTATTCTTCATTAAAAAGTTAAAAAATTATAATAGGTTAGCGTTTAATTTTCGAAAGTACCCCTAAATACCTTAAACAATAATTTTTTCTAACAATAAACTTGATATTTACAATGACTTATAAGTGCAAATAAAATTTTAACTTGATTTATTTATTAGGAATAATATCATAACCAAACAAGCGAGAACGAACTGGGGAAGTAACGCAACAGTTTTCAATAATAATGTCGTAACTCAAAAATTAATAAATAAATAATATAAATAAAAAAAAAGTCAGAATAATTATTTTGTTGTTGTTAAAAAATGTGAGTGAGAGTTACATTTGATTCGAGGTGTAATTCGAGGGTCATAAAATAACAATGTAAATTTTCTTATGGATTTAAAAAAATCTTACCTGGTAAATTATCTGGTTCTTATAATATCCTTAGTGATGATATTGGTAAAAATGATAAATAAAGTAACACAAGTTCAAATTTTAGTTCACAAATTAACACATAAAAACTTCGACAATGACGATCACGACGTTCGCATAGTTTAATACGGAGTACGAAAAGAACAGCGCAATACGGAGCACGAAATGAACAGCCAGGAGCAAGGGTTTGCTTTGGCTTTTTACAATATTTTTTTACCCCCTAAAATCGTCAGTGTCGAATTTTTAGTATAATTGTTTATTGATAAATAAGCATAAAACACAGAGATCAATACAGATGAATAGAACATAAATTATTTTGACATTTACATATATAACATTAACATGTTTTTTTACAAGACGAAAATTAATACAATGCATTTAACCATTAATAGTAAAATAACAAATATGACAAAAATAATACATAGATTTTCTTTTGCTAAGGAAATATTTTAAAAGTAATTATTAATTGATTTATACATTACACTACAATGTAGCCAAACAGTGTGAATTTGTTGACTATTTCTCTTAAATGTTTATTTAAATTTTTGTTAGAAAAGGATCATGTCCTTGTAAGAATATGATGTATAATAAAACAAGTTAAAATGTACTATTTCTATGGATAGAAGTGGTGACTATTTGAAATGAAAAAAGAATATACTAATAAATACTAAAAGATAGCATTGTTGAGTACATGAATAGGGTATTTTAGTGTTGTCGCGTATAAATAATAGTGACGATTATATTACGACAGTAATTTTTTCAATAAAACTGAAGACAGTTTTCTTTTTTCTAGTTTAAAACAGAAAAACGTACTGACAAATACTTCGTTAAGTAAATGACTGACTAGATTTGTAACTTATTGTATTTAATTATTTTTTATGCACAATCGCATGGAAACGTTTCAAGACACTAAAGTTATTAAATAAGAATATTAAATTCGTGCAACAACAAGAAAACCGACATTTTCTTCTTATAACTGATGTTGTTTTTACACTCCAGAGGAGCACAGTTGAACTTTTAAATTTTTAATTATATAAAAATATTGGTTCAATAGTAGTATAGTCCCTAGATAAAATTTACTTATTTTTATGAAAACCTTTAACAAATACTTAGATATTATTTACAATAATATACGTAAGTTTTGAACTAATTGAAGCTGTTTTTTTATAATGAAATTTTTTTTTTAAATTGTTTTCTTAGTTATTTATTAACATAAAAATTTAATGTAGTATATTATTTAAAATTGTCGTAATGTTTTTGTCAGGAACTTTTGTATTATTTATACTAATATCAATTATATTTATTTGAGTCTTTATGAAGTCATGCATATAATTAAAAAAAACACACAATAATGATGTGTTTGAATTTAAATTTTTACGAATAAGTTAATGTAAAAAAATCAAATTTAATATCGACAATATTAAATATATATTGTATAATAGAACTGTTATATAAATAATAATAATAATAATAATAGAAAAATAATTGAACATAAAAATGTCATGACTAGACATAAACGTGTTAAATAGTAAAAATTATGTTAAAACATTAGTTAAGGTATTATTTAATTTTCAGAGATATAACTTTTATGCTAATAATATTATTTTTATAAAGTTAAATTAAAGTTTATTACAACATTATTTATAATAAAGTTAAATTATTCATGTATTTTTAATATAAAAATTTAAAAGTTTAATACAAAACGTAGTATTTATAAAATTAACTTAACAAATAAAAAGAATACACATAAAGTTTTTACAATCTTTTTGGTTGGACCAACGGTTATGAGTGTTAATATATTGAATATATTTAACTATAGTTCTATTATATAGTTCTCCAACGTAATTGGTCCCTAAATTTACCATAACTTTAAAAAATGTTCTCTTTATATAAAATAAAGTAAAATTTAGTTTAAAGATTAAAGATTACTGTTAACACACATTATAAATAATAATTATATTTTATAATATAGTAAGTTTATTTGTTCTTAATATTAATAAAAATATGTATTAACTTGCTTAGACTTGAAAATGTCAATAACTATTACATGGATTTGGAATGTTAAAACTGATTAGGGAACACAATTGGTTAATTAACAATAGGCGACAGTCCATTTTATATACCACAGATCTAATTGACAACACTAATTACTTTTATAATATCATTGAAAATTTTTATTTTAAATTTCGAAAATTTTTTTAACCATTTTCTTACAAAATATACTTTAGACGTTGTTAAAAACTGTAAAAATTATTAAAAAAAAAATGAACGCAAAAATTCGCTGTATCAAAAGTTATTGAAGATGTCAAAACCTTGTGGGACACTGCATATATTCCGCTTTCGTTTTATACTGACTTTATGCATTTAAAAGCTAGTAATTTAATAATAAATTATCATAGAAATCTGAAAATTTCAAATAAAAATATTTTTTAGTTATAACTTATAAAATAATTACTGTTTTTCTAACTAGTTGTTATACATTTTAATATCATATATTAAAAGATATTCAACTATTAAATGCATATGGTTGCATTCGTTCAACTTTCAGTAATATCGCAATAAGTAAGAAAATTTTACTTTTAATTTTATAGTATTCTGGATAAATTTTAGATAATAATAAGTTCATTGAATAAGAATTACAAGATATTGGCTAAAATGTAATTATTAATAATAGATGTCGTCATTCAATCATAATAATTCGTTTTAGTAGTTTTAGCAACTTGATAATTGATGGAATAATTTTTTGTAACATTATATCATATTAGTGGCCTAATAGATATGTACACTGAACAGATTTTATTTTTTGAGATTTTACATGAGTCATGTAAGCAATTAATCATGAAATAAAAATATTAAATATGTGTTTCGAGTTCTTATTTAAAATACTTATTTATTTAATTATACTGCTTGCATGAAAATTATAAAGATGGAAAAAAAAATTTAACGACAAAAAATATCGTTTTACTATTTAAACATAACAGAATTTATTTTTTTATTCCTTTGATTACTTTAAATATATCATTAATATTGTTACGAACGCGGCGTAGCGAAAAACAAAAACTGTTTACTAATAATATGCATCCCAAAGAATCGCTTGAACGCTTTCGATAGAGGCAGCCACGCAGGTCGGTTCACGAGGATGATGTGCTGGTTTAGGTCAGTGACTTAGAATGTCGCATACTGATTTTCTATGTTTTTGTGGGTTATTAAGCCCCAACCTTTGCAAAGTCCAAAAAGCCACACTGTGTTGCAAGTTACAGAGACGCCGTGGACCGCTCTGGAGTAATGCATAACGGTAGTTCGAAATGTACCACAATAATTGTGGTCGTGTTAAAAAAAAAAAAAAAAAAAAAA